GTGTAATAACATACAAATGACCAGTAGAAACAGAGATATCATCCAAAAAGTACCCAGCGTAATAACGTACAAATGACCAGTAGAAACAGAGATATCATCTAAAAAGTATCCAGCGTAATAACGTACAAAGGACCAGTAGAAACAGGGATATCATCTAAAAAGTATCCAGCGTAATAACGTACAAATGACCAGTAGAAACAGAGATATCATCTAAAAGCATCCAGCGTAATAACATACAAGTGACCAGTAGAAACAGAGATATCATCTAAAAAGTACCCAGCGTAATAACGTACAAATGACCAGTAGAAACAGAGATATCATCTAAAAAGTACCCAGCGTAATAACATACAAGTGACCAGTAGAAACAGAGATATCATTCAGACGGATTGTTGACGAATGTGTCATGATGTGAACTATATGTTAGAACTTTATTTTAACTTTGTGTAAATGCCTTAAAACAGTAAATAACTCAAATAAAACAGTAAATAACCCATTAAAAACAGTAAATAATCCATTAAAAACAGTAAATAACCCATTAAAAACAGTAAATAACCCAAATAAAACAGTGAATAACCCATTAAAACAGTAAATAACCCATTAAATAACCCAAATAAAACAGTAAATAACCCACTGAGCAGCATCCCCATAAAACAAACCAACAAACTTTATAAGAAATGTTTATGTTTCTTCTAGGGAAAACTTATGTATATGTTTCACGTCCATCTACGTTCACGTACAAAGTTACAGATTATAATACTGTCAACAAGGGGCGGTTTGGCTCAGTGGCTTCGGACATCCGGTTGCGGGTTCGAGACTGGCTCGCGTCATGCTGTATTATCCTTGAGCAAGACACTTTACCTCATTTGTTCCAGTGTACCTAGCTGCCAGATTAGGGTTAACTCGCTATTGACTGGTCACCATTCTCACCCAGAGTTTCAAAGCATGTGACTTGTAAGGCACGATAAGGATTTAACTAACAAAATAACTAACACTTTCCTCATAACATAATAAACGATACAGATATATAAACCACTTTCGTTATAACATAATAAGCGACAATCTTGGTTAAAGATTTAATACTAGCTTAACACCAGCTTCCAGATAATAAAAAGATAAAACAGATCAATCAGAAGCTTCAGGTCTGTCAGAAGTAAACAGATCTATCAGAAGCTTCAGGTCTGTCAGAAGTAAACAGATCTATCAGAAGCTTCAGTCTGTCAGAAGTAAACAGATCTATCAGAAGCTTCAGGTCTGTCAGAAGTAAACAGATCTATCAGAAGCTTCAGTCTGTCAGAAGTAAACAGGTCTGTCGAAGGCTTTGTTTGTTTGTTTTTCAAATTACATTTGTTCGAAATTGGAATCTAAAATAAATAAAAGAGAAATGCACGAAAAAACTATTTTCTTCCGATGAAATGGTAACAAAACCTAAATTTGCCATCCGTTAAAACCTGCAGCTTTGCCAAATCTCGCCATCTTTGTGAAGCTGGTGCTCACGAATACCACCCAGTAGGGCTGTAGGTGATTTTAGATGGGGGGGGAGGGGGAGACGTTTGTTTTGTTTATGTCAGACATTCTACTCTTTCATTGAGAAAAATGGACCGAAGGTGTTTACCTTTTCAGTTAGGCTTAGCTATTGCAGTGTACCAGAGGGAAACGAAATCGTGAGTGTTTTGTATATC